CAATAAAGTGAATAGAGAACCTAGAGCTTGGAAGCAACTTTTTAACACTTGCACATCAGATAGAGCACTAATCTTTAGGGTATATAAAGAATTCAAAAGGCTAAACACAGAAAAAAAATAGAATAGACAATTTATTGATGTATGTACATTCTATGTATGTATTATATGTCAAAATGCATTCTACTGTCATGTATGACTAAAAAAAATAAATAAAAGTTAAAAAAAAAAACCAATCAATAAATGGGCCAAGGAAATGAACAGACACTTCTCAGAAGAGGATATATAATCTATCAACAAATATATGAAAATATGTTCAACATCTCTAGCAATTAGAGAAATGCAAATCAAAACTACTCTAAGATTTCATTTCACTCCAGTGAGAATGGTAGCTATTAAGAATACAAAAAACAGGGCTGGGGATGTGGCTCAGTGGTAGAATGCTCACTTAGCATGAGTGAGGCCTTGGGTTCGATCCTCAGCACCAAATGTAAATAAATTAATTAAATAAAGATACTGTGTCCAACTACAATTAAGAAATAAAGATTTAAGAAATTTTAAAAAATACAAACACCAATAAGTGTTGGTGAGGATGTGGGGAGAAAGGCACACTCATACATTGCTAGTGGGACTGCCAATTGGTACAAGCAATATGGAAACCGTATGGAGATTCCTTGGAAAACTGGGAATGGATCCACATTTTGACCCAGTTATCCTACCCTCTATACCCAAAGGACCTAAAAACAACATACTACAGGGACACAGCTACATCAATGTTTACTGAAGCACAATTCACAATAGCTAGCAAAACTGAAACCAACCTAGTTGCCCTTCAGTAGATGAATGGACACAGAAAATATGGTATATATACACAATGGAATAAAAGAGCAATAAAAGAGAATAAAATCACAGCATCTGCCGGTAAACAGATGGCATTGGAGAATATAATGCTAAGTGAAGTTAGCCAAATCCAAAAACCCAATATTGAATGTTTTCTTTGATATAAGGAGCCTGATTCATAGTAGGGTTGGGAGGCGGAACAAGGAAACATTAAAGGAACTCTAGATAGGGCAAAGGAGTGACAGGGGAAGGAAGGGGGTATGGAGATAGGAAAGTTGGTGGAATGTGATGGACATCATTACCCTAAGTAATAAAGACACAAATGAAGACACAAATGGTGCAAATATACTTTGTATACAACTAGAGATATGAAAAATTGTGCTCTATATGTGTAATACAAACTGTAATGCATTCTGCTGCCATATTTAACAAATTAGAATCAAAAATTTGAAAACATTAGTTAATTAGTTAATATTGCAAATACTATGTAGTGGTTATTTATCATAACAAAGTAGTTTACTAGAATAAAAATTGTGGAGGAGGGAAATGACGATATATATACAGATAATGTCTGTCCATACCATTTCTTAGAAGGGCTTATACAGAACAGTAACAAAATAGAAATGAACATTCTTAGCACTCATATCTTGATTCCTACATGTCATATCCCAAAATAAACCAGACATCTAAGGAAAAATAGCTTGCATAAGCAGGTAAGGAAAAAACCTGAAACTTTATATTGTTATGCACAGAAAATTTTAAATGAATATTAATAAGAAAAGACTAAGGTCTAGATAAAAAATAAGAACTTATAAGAATACTAAATGAGGCTGGGTTTGTGGCTCAGCAATAGAGCACCCACCTAGCATATGTTAGGCACTGGATTTGATACTCAGTATCACACAAAATAAATAAATAAAATAAAGGTACTGTGTCTACACACACACACACACACACACAAATGACCAAATTTGGGACAATATCAGTAAATATAAAAATCACATTGATTAGTTTCATCCATAGAATAAAGCAAATTTCCATACTGATATAAATAAGTGGAAGATAAAGTATAAAATATAAAATTCCAATTGCAACTGGACTTGGTGGCACTAAGGAGAGATTGATCTTGGAGTAGCATTGACTCCCACCCACACTGTTTTTTATTATAGTAAAATACACTTAACTTAATCTTCACTATTTTAATGATTTCTTAACTATAAAGATCAAATGTATTAATTACATTTGCCTATGAACACAGATATTTGAAAAGGTGTAGAGAGATGATTGAAAGTTTTGAAGCCTGGTTGTATCCTGGTGTTGTATGTATTAAAAAGAATAAAGTTTGAAGCCCAGCTTAGGCAATTTAGAGATCTTGTCTCAAAAATCAAATAAAAATTCAAAAAGGGCACCAGGGAAGCAGCATAGTGTTAGAGCAATTGCCTAACATGGGCAAGGCCTTCTGCTTAATCCCCAATACCTAAGAACAAATAAACAAACAAACAAAAAACAATAAAACACACAACAAATGTTTGATTTTTTAAAAAATTACATCTATCACTTAATAACAGTTGCAAGCAAGAAACACCAATGTATAATTAATTTAGTAGATAAAATGTGAAGAATATTTGTAGTATCATCTTTAAAAGGTATTAATTATAAGACAAATAAGCAAAATAACATCACTAGCAACAAGATCAACAATATATGCCCCTTTGGCAATGAAATGATAGAAGCATAAAATCATTTTCATAGCATTTGTTCCAAAAACTAATAAAATCAATCACAAAGATTAGACAATCACAAAAAAGGGGCAGTAATGGGCAGAAATTCTTTAAAATGCTCAAATAATAAAGATCATTAAAATAAAAAAATGGAGAAATGCCCAAAAAGAGACACAGGACAACTTTATATAACGTAGAAACAAACTTTCAATCACACACCCATAAAATTTCATTGACACTAACAACACAAATATCAATAAGGTATGTGGATCAGTTAAAATGATATATAAATGACAACATCCTGGTTTAGAGAACTAAATAATATAAGAAAGGTAGGGAAAAATATAAAATTACTATGTACTGCTACATTAACATATTTTAAATCCAACAATTATTTCAATTTAAAAACCTTTTACAGAAGTTATAAAGTATTTAACTCTTTCCGATCTGAAATTGGTCTCAAAGAGCCATTAAAATAATATAATGCTCTGGAAAAAAAGGAAAAAAAAACTTCTTGCATGCAAATATTATTTCACAAATTCCATATAAAATTTTAACATGAAGGGAAGTATATACTTTATAATAAATTTATGTTCAACTAATCAATAATTTAAAGGGCAAGTATCAATAGCTGTACCATAAAATAATTAAATCTTCACTAAATTTTATAAAAACTCACTAGAAGTTATATAAAATGACCAGAAAAAACCTAAATAACCTCAAACCAATAAAATTCATATTAATGGCCAAATAATGGTATATTCTAGCTTTACATACACTAGAATAATTTCCCAGAGTATTTAATCAAGAGTAATAAAAATGATAATACTAAAATAAAATGATAAAAATTATAACCAGAGATATGAAAAATTGTGCTATACACATGTAATAAGAATTGTAATGCATTCCACTGTCATTTATTTTTTTAATTTTTAAAAACTGAAAATACTATTATAAAAGGATACAAAATGATTTATCAATAATAAATTGGAAAATTGTTCCCAATCACTACAGTTAACAAAAGTTATGAAATATTGTAGGAATGAAAAAAAATGTTCAACTGTACTGGCAGTATCCCAATACAATAATCTGATTAGAAACAGACATACATACCTTGAAGTTGGATAGGAAGACTCAATTTTAAAGTGATCTATTCTCTAATTAATCTATTAAATTTGGTGCAAATGAAATTAAAACTGCATTTTTTCCAATGTGTAAAATAATTGTATGCATCAACTGAGAAAAAAAATGCAATTATAAACACGGAAAATTCTTAAAAAGAAGAGAAATGAGAACTGAATGGAACAAATGAGACTGTACAAATCATTAGTAAATGAACTGTCAATAGAAGGTGTGTCAAACAATTGAAGCCAAATACAGCTAATTTTATGTAGTAATTTTCTATGATTATGATAGAACTTAAAAGAAGTAACAGTAAAAGTCAAGGCAAGAAATTTGAATACTTATTATGCTAACAACATAGCAGTGATTAGTAGACCAAAAAATCAACTGACAAAAATATTTGATGGAAAAATAGGAAGACAATGCAAATAAATGTATGCTACTAATATAAACATGTTTGTGAAGAAAAACACAAAACACAGAGGCAATAAAGCAGGATTATATTTCAACACATAATTTGTATACAACCAAAAAATAAAATTATAGCACAGTAAAGAAAATGGAAAAACACACATACGCATATATATATTATATATACATATTTCATTTACAATATATGACATGTTAACATAAGTATAAATGAATTCTTAGTAATCAGTAACAAAAAGACTTATTATAGGGAAGTGAAAATAAAGGAACAAGAATTTGAAATAATACAAATGAATACTAATATAATATGAAGATGATCTAGTTTAACAGAAAAAGGGACTTTCTTTTTAATATACATTATCAATGATCAAGAAAATACGGATATCTAATGTTTACACAGTATTAGAAAAAGGGGAATGCTGATTAAACAATGGAAGAACTTACTCCAATTAGGAGGAAATTTACTCAATTGTAGATTTTAGAAATACTTTTCCCCGGCAATTCCAATCCACAGAAAATATTCCAAAGTAGCTGAAAAATTCAAATTTATACATAAGGATGTTTACCAAATCGAGAATACATAGCTAAGATCAACCCATGAAAAAAATACAAATTGTATCAATTTAATAGCAAACAGCATTAGAGTATGAATTAGAAGGAGAAAAAAATTTAATAAACAAAAATATTAGCTTAGCATGGTGGCACATCCCTATAATCCCAGAGAATTGAAGACTGAGGCAGTAGGATTGCCAAGTTCAAAGTCAGCCTCAGAAATACCTTCTGCAACTAAGCAAGACACTGTCTCAAAATAAAAAGGACTGGGGATGAAGCCTAGTGGTAAAGCACCAAGGGATCATTTCTCAGAACCAAAAAAAAAAAAAAAAAACCTGCTTCACAAGATTCTGCATTCTTTAATATTTTAAAGTCATGTTCAAATTTATCCTGTCATAAGTGATAATTATAAATGCATGCACTTTATACTTATGGAAAACTTCTCTGGACACAAATGTTTCTTCCATTGCACTTCCTGAGATAAAGTCCAACAGTAACAATAAAGACAATTAATACAACTAAGTATTAGAATTTTCTGGGCTATATTTTAGGTCTCTTTTCAAAAACAAGCTTTCTGAGTTCAGTTCTTCTGATGAGCAAGGAGTGTCCATTGCAACACACATTAAGTATAAAGTCTTCATTCATTATGCAGAACATATTTTAGTTTTGAGGAAGAAGGTGGTAAAAACAATGGCATGCATTTCTTTCCAGTAATTCCCTGAAAGGACAAATAGAAAAATGGGAAAAGTTTAGGAGCAAACTTAGTATCATCAGCAAGGACTATAAAGTGCAACATTCATTCTATTATCAAAAATTCCTACTGGAATTTATAACAATAAGGAGATCAGATATTAGCCTTCTTTTTGTAACTTATTAATATTAACTGATCCTCTGCATATGATATGATGCTCACACTGTCTATTTGGCTGCTTATATCTCAATGTTATCATTTATATACAGAATATTATAAAGAAAAGGTACATGTTCTATACATGTGTTTATATACACAACAAAATAACAATGTCTAATCAAATATCAGGAAAAAATAACAATATGAAAAATAAAGAGGATGCCGGACACAGTAGTAAATGCCTGTAATCCCAGTGGCTCAGGAAGCTGAGACAGGAGGATCACCAGTTCAAAGCCAGCCTCAACAAAAAGTGAGGCACTAAGGAACTCAGTGAGACCTTGTCCCAAATAAAATACAAAATAGGGCTGGTGATGTGGCTCAGTGGTTGAGTGCCTCTGAATTCAATCCCTGATTCCCATCCCCCCCAAAAAATATTTCTGTTAAAAAAAAATTAGAGCGAGGCTTTGATGGAGCTATAAAGAGAACATAACATAAAAATCATGTGGACGTTGTTAAAAAAGTATTGACCCACAACACAATAGTTGTCACTGTATAAAACTGATTCAGGATATTCAACCTCAACACATGCTACTGCAAACTAGTAATATCAAATAGCCATTAAACTTAGGAAAAACAGGCTATATAAATAAACTTATATCACTAAAGCACCCCATTCCCCATCAAATGGGCAGTCAGTGGCCCTTATAGTCATACCGCCAAGTGAGAGATAGGAGTGAAGAACACATGAATTAAATTACTCCAACAGATCTTTCATTGCTAGTACATATCATTCACAGGATTAAAACCAAGGATGACAGAAGTATTCTTTCTTGAAACTATCATCTGTTAACAAGAAAAACAAAACAATTTAAGCATATCACTCTGAAGAACTGCTAAGGTAGTAGGGTAAGTGGATATTCATGTTTAATATTTTTAGAAATGTCAGTTAACAGTTACAAGTACTGTCTTGTTAATCAACCCTACAGCTGAGTTAACTTTAACATAAGTCATGATTCACTACTTCAGTCAGCAATTATGGTGGTTTCCATAAAATTATCTTTTTGTCATAGTACTGTTATTTGCAAAAGCAAATATATTATCAATTTCTTTTTGTTGTTGTTGTTTTTGTTTTGTTTAAATTTTTGTTTTGGAGTAGCAGGGATTGAACTCCAGAGCACTCAACCACTGAGCCACATCTCTAGCCCTATTTTGTATTTTATGGAGACAGGTCTCACTGAGTTGTTTAGTGCCTCACTGAACTGCTGAGGATGGCTTTGAACTCAGGATCCTCCTGCCTCCACCTCCCAAGCCACTGGGATTATAGGCATGAGCTACCATGCCCAGCTCAATTTCTTAATTAAACATTTGGTCACTTACTTTATTGAATTAGTTATGTTGTAATGGTTGCTAATAAGTAAGTAAAATAAACAAATGGCACACTGTGTGCACACACATAACAGCTTTACTACCTTTTGATCAACTAATTCAGGGGCTGGTGAAGTAATCAATGGCAGATTGTTTTCCTAAAATACATAAAGCCCTGAGTTCTATCCCCCCAAACTGCAAAAAATAAAAAAGACAAATCTATTTACCAATCAAAATCCCAATGGCATTCCTTACAGAAAAGCAATCATGAAATTCATCTGGAAAAATAAGAGACCCAGAGTAGCCAAAGCAATCCTTAGCAAGAAGAATGAAGCAGGTGGCATTACTATTCCAGACCTAAAACTATACTACAGAGCAATAGTAACTAAAATAGCATAGTTACTATTACTTATTAGCAACCATTACAACATTGGCACCAAAACAGACTTGTAGACAAATGGTACAGAATAGAGGACACAGAGACTAACCTATATAATTACAATTATCTTATATTAGACAAAGGTGCCAAAAATGTACATTGGAGAAAAGATAGCCTCTTCAGCAAATCTTGCTGAGAAAACTGAAGTCCACATTTAACAAAATGAAATTAAACCTCTATTTCTCACCATGCACAAACTCAACTCAAAGTGGATCAAGGACATAGGAATTAAACCAGAGATCTTGAACCTACTGGAAGAAAAAGTAGGCCCAAATCTCATCATCATGTTGGATTAGGCCCCACTTTCTTAATAAAACTCCTGTAGTGCAAGAATTAAACCCAAGAATTAACAAATGGAACGGATTCCAACTAAAAAACTTCTCGGCAAAAGGAACAATCAGTGGGGTAAACAGAGAGCCTACAGAATGGGAGCAAATCTTTACCACTTGCACATCAGATAGATTACTAATCTCCAGGATATATAAAGAAATCAAAAGCCTTAACACCAAAAACCCAAATAACCCAATCAATACATGGGCCAAGGAAATGAACAGACATTTCTTAGAAGATATACAATTAATCAACAAATATATGAAAAATGTTCAACATCTCTAGCAATTATAGAAATGTGAATCAAAACTACTCTGAAATTTCATCTCACTCCAGTGAGAATGGTAGCTATTGTAGCTCAGTGGTAGAGTACTAACTAGCCCAGCGAATGCGAGGTATTGGGTTCTGATCCTCAGCACCACATAAAAATAATAAAATGTATTTTAAAAAGGAAAAAAAACTAGAAATAGAACCACCATATGACTCAACTAACTCACCCCTTGGTATTTATCCTAAAGAACTAAAATCAGCATACTAAAACAATATAGCCACTTCAATGTTTACAGCAGCATAATTCACAATAGCTAAATTTTGGAATCAGCCCAGATATCCATCAGGAGATAAATAGATCAGGAGATAAATAGATCAGGAAAATGTGGTGTGTACACACACACACACACACACACATAATGGAATTATATATATATATATATATAAAATGGAATTTTACTCAGTCATAAAGAAGAATAAAATAATGGCATTTGACAGTAAATAGAGGAAAATGGAGAACATAAGCGAAAAAAGCCAGACTCAGAAAAATCAAGGGTCAAAAGTCTTCTCTCATATGTGAAAGCTATAGCAAAATAAGGAAAAGATGGTGAAGAGTGGGTTAAGGGGGGATTGGATATCATATAGGGAAGATAAGTAGAGTAGAGGAAGGAGAATTAGGAGGAGAGAGGAAGGGAGTGAAAGGGGTAGAATGGGGATTTAAATCAAATCAACTTCCATGCATGTATGATTTTGTCAAAATGAATCTGACTACTAAGTATAATTATAATGCTTTAATTTTTTAAAAATCCTGTTCTAAGATCATTAAGTTATTCTCTTATGTTTTCTTCTAAAGGATTTGTTGCTTTCCTTATGTTTTTAAAGATGTCTGAGTTGCAAGTTGTAAAAATCACTATTAAAATTAAAGAGCTATTTATGAAAAAAAAAAGAATGGTAGCTATTAAGAATGCAAACAACAATAAGTGTTGGTGAGGATGTGGGGAGAAAGGTGCACTCATACATTGCTGGTGGGACTGCAAATTGGTGCAGCCAATCCAGAAAGCAGTATAAATATTCCTTGGAAAACTGGGAATGGAACCACCATTTGACTCAGCTATCCTACTTCTCTTGGTTTATACCCAAAGGACTCAGCCATATCAATGTTTATAGCTGCACAATTCACAATAGCTAAATTAGGGATCCAACCTAGATGCCCTTCAGTAGATAAATGGATAGGGAAACTTTGGCATATATACACAATGGAACATTACTCAGCATTTAAAGAGAATAAAATTCACAGCATTTGCAGGTAAATTGATGAAGTTGGAGAATATAATGCTAAGTGAAGCAAGCCAATCCCCCCAAAACAAAGGCTGAATATTCTCTTTGATATGAAGATGCAGATGCATAATAGCAACTGGGGGGAGTGGGGAGCATGGGAGGAATGGAGGGAAAGGAGGGGAAAAGGGGTAGGAAAGATGGGGGAATGAGATGGACATCATTACCCTAAGTACTTGTATAAGACATGAATGGTGTGAAAATATTTTGTGTACACCCAGTCTCTTGAAAAATTGTGCTCTATATTTATAATATGAAATGAATTGCATTCTGTCATCATGTGTAACAAATCAGAATGAAAAAAAAATTCCACAGGATAGTGTGTATATCAGAACTAGTTTCCCGAGCTTAGTTATGTCTCACCTGAAAATGGCACCAGAATCTTCTTACCTATGCTTTGCAGTTAAGTTGTAAAAATTAAGGACTCCAAAGGAAGATGATTTCATCACCTGTACTCAAGTTACCTTCAATATATCTCTCATTGTGAATACCTGAAAAATGCAACATCCAATGAGCAATGGATAGATATGAACCAAGCATAAGAACATAAAAAATCAGGATAACATCATGTTGATCAGGCATATTCAATTAGCAAACACAACTGCAAAAAACACTTTCTATTTTAGCCAACATGGTTAGCACAAATGCCAAAAATATTCAAATATTTCCCCTGCTAATTTTGTGTGATCTATAAAATACTAAAAATTTTATTTGAAATCTTTCAGCACAATGAACCAAACGAAAAAACAAGCAAACAAACAATCCATTCTTCATTCAAATCAAAATTAAATAAGGAGGCTAGAAACAAGGTTCAGTGGTAAAGCATGTGGTTATATGCTTTTACATCAAATGCAACATCTCTACAATATCTCTAATTAGTCCCCATAAATATGATCTTGTTATTAAAATTTACTCACTTTATAGAATTTTTAGTTCTATTTTTTACTCATTTGTTAATCAAAATACAACTGCTTGGCACCTACCTATAATTCCATCTTCTTCCTTCTTTTCTTGGATAATCCAATACTATTTATTCTCTTAAATTGCATACTCTTCATAAAATCATTGAAAAAAATCATTCACAAAGGACTCTGGGAAGACAAAGCTGGATATGACAACCAAATGCTCCAACGATGGTGAGTTGCAAGAATGAAAATAAGTACAAACTGTCTCCTTAACACTTCTTTCTTGTTTAATTGTTCATGTTTTAATACCTTTATAAAAACTAAAAGAAGACAAAAGAAACACTCCTTCTATTCTCATCTCTCTACAGAGGACTGGTAAGTTTTTACCTTATTCTTCCAGACAACTTTTTTATTTCCATTAGACATATTCATTTTAGATTTTTTGCATGTAGCAATTTACAAATGTGGATGGATCTTTGGAATTTTAACTCATATATAAAAATGCCAACAGAATTATAAAATAACATTTTAACAATAGGAAATATTACCTCACTATAAAAATCTCATTTCCAAAATGTTATAAATATTTTATAGTTAACCATTAATACTTCAGCTAGGACAAAGAGGCATAAGCATTCAAATCTATAACAAACAATTATTCAATATCTGTTCAACTCAAAATACTTCAAAACCTACATCAATATTGAAATATTTCTGTGCAAAAGTTACATTGATGTTGAGTAAGCTATAATAAATACAATCTTTCTTTCAATGGTTGATACTTCAGTTGTTTACATTATGTTTTTAAAGTAAACACATAATACTTTCTTCCTAGCAAATGTTTAAGTATTCCAACATTTGGAAATTGGCTATTCCAATAGCCAATTATTACATTTAAAATATTTGATACCCACAGAATTTGATGATCTATACCAAATTCTATTCAAAAAATGAGGATCTATACTTTGATCAACACCAGAATTTTTATTTTAAAAAAATCCTTCTTTATGTAACAGGTAACATGACTTGTCTTTGATTATCACATACATGAATTATATATAGGTCACAAGAAAATTTCAAAAATAATATCAGAAAAAACAAACTATTCATAATTATTGTTGTTTTGTTCTCACAGGGATATACAAACATGGAAACAGATTTGGAATTCAAAGTAATAGAGCTTAGTATTACTATAAAATTATAGTTAGAAATAATAATAAATTGGATTCTAGAAGTATGTTCAAGCTAAAAAATAAAAGTTTCATCATTTGTAAAATAAAAAGGCCTGGGGCTATAGCGTAGTGGCAGAGCACAAGCCTATATCATTCATGAGTCTCTGGGAACAATCCAAAGCAAAAATATAAAAATTAAAGTAAAATAAAATATAAATCATTAAACAAATGAGAAAAGCTGGAATGAGCAATATCCCAACTATTTAACTAAAACATGATTTCAAAGGCATGTACATGCAAGTAAATTCGCAGAGAATAAATATAACCAGGTAACAATAATTGTACCAATCTTTTTAATTCTCTCTTTTTTAAAATGGGAATTTCCTTCTCATATCTTCTACTTGGTACCTCAGGTCAAACTGTATGCCAGGGTAATTGTTTAAATATATAATTCACACAAACAGCAATGATCCTGATCAATGAGGAGATGCAGACACAATTTACCTATTGCTCTCTCACAAAACAGCAAAATGTTTGTCTTTATATTAATTAACCAATGGACTGTAAAAGCATTTACAGCAATCAATTTAACTATGGAGTTTTACAATGAAATATTTACAAATTTATACTTTCTTGAGACCCAGAGCACCTGGCAAAACTAGTTATTTTCAAATGACAAGGGTAACTGGTATTTACAAAGTTGTCTTGAATTTTGTCATGCAGTCCAAGAACATATAATACTATATTAGGTCGAAGAGGTAGAAGGAAATTTTTTTTATAAAAGGCATTTTCTACAATGCTTATAAAAAATACTATTAAAATGTAGCAATACAACTACAAACTTATGAAGTTTTAAGTATATAATACAAGCAAATAACTATGGTTAAAATGTATTTTTTTTTCTTTTGATGGAAACTCAAAAGCTTAAAATACACATATTTTAACCTTTTCCTTCCCATAACTCAATAAACAGATATTTAATAAAACCCACAACTTTGTGTATTTCATTGGCAAAAAATTTCAAAGAACAATCAAATCATGAAATTTTACAATGACTTATTTACAAAATTATACTTTGTGAGACTCTATACATCTAGAAGGACAACTAGATGTTGAAAATTAAAATTTTGGCTTTACCATTATTTACAAAGTTGTCTTGAATATTGTCATGCAACCAAGGGAACAGATACAGAACATTGTATAGTTCCAAGAGGTAGTACAAACTCTCTTTAATCATTTATATCTTGAATGTTGACAGTAAAGGGGAAAAAAAGATATAAGGAAGCTTGGAACATCCAGAAAAGACGACTGGATTTAACTGTTATTTCATTTGAGTATTTTTAAATATGCAATTCAGACATGGCAAACTGTAGACTTCCATGGAAATGGAATTAATTGCATAGTGTCTTCCGATTTTCTTATTTTCTCCTTCTAACATCTATATTAATATATGATAAATTTTTCTAGCTCTAAGAGCTACTTATGAATAACCAATTTAACTGCCACATTAACCAAAAATGACCATAGCACTACTAATTTTGTGGATTTACAAAATTTATACTTGTGAGACGCTAGAAATACATGTTTGAAATAAAAAAATTATTTCCCCATTATTTATAAAGTTGTGGTTTTTTGCCATGTAGTAAAAAAAAAAAGAACCACAAAATTTAGAAATTCTATAAAACATGTAAGAAGAAAGAATTGCATCATGAACGTAAGTTTAGCAAAATAAGATATGTCTACTTATCTATTACATAGACACATTGTATTTACATTAAATGGATACCCTGGAATGATAATCTAATTTTACTTGTAAATGTGGTAAAATACCACTATATTCTCTAACAGGACAGTATATATACTAATAACATGCAAGCACAGAAGCTTGTCAATGGAATATACAAGTAATTTGTACAACCACAGAAATATATTCACGTTTTTCCAAAAGGTAAAATAATACTTTACCATTAAAAGAAAAATATTTCTTCTTTTTCTAATTCTTATCAACTCACATGCATCTAAAAATGATGAAATATTATAAAGCATCTATTACAGATATTAAATAAACCCCCAAAAGCTAACCACCTAATGCTGTTAAAGTCATTTATAATTATTTATATTTCAACTAGTTTAACAGTTTAACAAAGTAATGGTTGCAATATATAAATGTTCACCATCTCTACCAAAACAAAAACAGAAGTAAGCAAAAGGATTGTACATGTACATGAAACTGTGATCATAAAAAAAATCCATCCTTTCCATATACCTTCCAACAATAAATTTTAATATGTACAAAAGTACATGGCTGTATTAATTTAAAAAGGTTATTTTCCAAAATGTATATGCATCAGCAATGACATTCTGGGGGAAAATGTTCAAAACATATAAATGTATACTTTTTGTATATACTCACACATCCACATACTACACATTCATGCGTCCACACACATGAACACACAGATGTGATGCTGACATTTAGTTAATTCTAGCTCAACACAGAGTGTGTTCATGCCTCCTCACAGACAAAAAAAGGCAAAAGAAGTTAAGAGCAAAGATAATGAATCATTTTACAAAATGACTCTAATCACAAATAATGATTCATAACACAGAAATATGGATTGATTAATTGCAAGAAGGATTTCAGAAGTCATACATTTCTTGAAACATGTTTTAAAACGTACTAACTATATATACATATTTGTGTAAAAATCCTTCTAAATAGAGGCTTGGGTTTTTGCATTTTGTTAATTGAATTTCAATTAACAAAAAAAAACCACTTTCTGTCCTATAATTTATTTTATTTTTTTATTTATCCTATTTATTTTATGCAAAATATATTCACAAAATGTGACAGAAAATTCTCCACATCTACAAATGTAAACAACATGTGAACATATACATAACAACTGAAAACAAAAAAAAATGTAAACCCAAACTTGCATATATACCATGTATATATGACATGAATATATGTGTGTATCACTCATATCCATACAGGTAGATATATAGTTATATATGCTACATATATTATAAGAACATTTCCTATCATATACCAAAATCGAAAAATTGAGGGCAGTGATCCAATGACTCTTTCAATCTTTTCACATGGAAGTCATATAAAAACCATCTCTGAACATAGGGCCAGCTGCTAAAACTCCATCCTTATATATTAAGTCCATATCTTAAATTTGCTAAATTTAAAGTACTTTAGCAATCCCTCTAAGCAATAAACAGAATCATAATCATTCCTCAAATGCAAAATATCAGACATTTTTCTTATTAGAAATATTCCCTAACAGTTTTGTGTGGCATACAGATACCTCTGTCATACAAAGCCCACCTGGTTGTCAATGTGTTCATAAAGGTTGATCTCTTCTGCAACTTCATCATGAAAAGGAAAGCTCATATCATAGACATTTAACAGTGAGACATTTGCAAAACATAGATATATCCATGAGTTCCACACATATAGCAGACTTAACAAAATTCCAGGGGCTGGAGTTGTAGCTCATGGGACAGGAGTTATAGCTCAGCAGTAGAGCACTTGCCTCATATGTGTGAGGCACTGGGTTTGATCCCCAGCACTACATATAAATAAGGAAATAAAATAAAGGTCCATCAACAACTAATAAATAAATAAATAAGCAGATAAATGGAGTTCTGCATTTAACAGTTCTGTGCATGTAGTATTCCTGGAAAAAGAATACTAAAGTCTAATACCAAAGTTTATTCAAAGACTACCTTTGAATTCCTTTGATTAAAAGGAATTCAAAGGTAGTCTTTTCTTTAGTCATCTTTCTATATAGTTCAAACTCATGGCTAACAATCTCTATATTTAATCAAGAAAATGTCAGAAAACAGTTACATTGAGACACTGCATAGAGTGAATTCTCAAATGTACTTTAAAAATGCTTCTTCTAATTAATATATAAAGCATTTTAATATCTCCTTCTTTATTACTCTTAAACACTGAAAAAATGAACATATAATTTATTCCATACTAAAACATTTAAGACTATATTTACCAAATGTGTTTTTGCAAATTTCCCCTAGGAAAACAGCTGTTTTATCAAAGAAACCATTTTTAAAACATCCTAATAAACTCATTAAAAATCAATGTGCTTATGTTTCTCTAATTAGATTTCAGGAAAGATTAAAACAATACAAATAAAAAGAATGAAAAGTAATACATGATTAATTTCATTCTGACTCTTGTAGAATACAAGAAACTCATATACATTAGTCATTCAATTATTATATCTGCACTGAAATACTATTATGCCACCACAATTCTCCCAAGTATTTCCCTAGACTCATAAGCTTATTATTTCCTAAAAATATAATAAAATTTGAAGATTTAGAAATGTTTTACAATACTAACAAGAGGGAAAAAAGAATATATTTGCTGTATATGCTTGCAAGTATTACATATGTAAGGTTTTAATTGCAAAGATCATTGTAAGGAAAAACAAATACTTTTAGCTTTTTTGTTTGCCTAAGGTATAGAAGAATACAATTAAAAAGGTATGCAACAAATTTTATGAACCCAGGAGAATAAATAGACCAAATTTTGTTTTGTACATGTACAGCATAATAGATCCCCTCATTATAGTTATCATGCACCAATAAAAAATTATAAAATATCTTTTGCCCAGTGCCTAACAATGGGAAGTTTCCATTTTATTGTTGTATAATATGCTCTAAATATTTTCATCTGATGTCATTTGTGTCTTCTCTAACAGTTTTTAAAATGCCAACTTCAGATTTAAAAAAAAAAAAAGAATAAGTTCTATCATGTCTTCACAACTGCCACACCAGAAAGATATATTGAAGAACCTCTGGAAGCAAGGGAATTGGGTAAAAAAAAGTAAATTGGTTTAGATGACAAAGCCTTCAGCCTTCAGCTATAGAAGCAGTACCAGAACAGTCATATAATGGAGTATGAACAGTATCTGCAATGCATAAAATTTCTAAGGAAATCCTTATTTGTTTCCATCTCTTTGCCTCAGCTCTTCAGAATTAACAGTGCAATAGAATAAACTCATTTTAAGAAATATATATTAAGGAAGAGCAGGAAGAAAAGATTGACATTAAACAGAGGCACGAGATGGGAGGGAAAGAGAGAGAAAAGGGGAATCGCATGGAAATGGAAAGAGACCCTCATTGTTATAAAAAACTACATAAAAGAGGTTGTGAGGGGAATTGGAAGAAAAATAAGGAGAGAAATGAATTACAGTAGATGGGATAGAAAGAGAAGATGGGGGGAGGGGGATAGTAGAGGATAGGAAAGGTAGCAGAATACATCAGTCACTAGTATGGCATTATGTAAAAATGTGAATGTGTAACCTATGTGATTCTGCAATCTGTATTTGGGGTAAAAATGGGAGTTCATAACTCACTTGAAACTATTGTTCAAAGTATGATATGTCAAGAGCTTTGTAATGTTGTGAACAACCAATAAAATAAAATAAAAATAAATAAATAAATAAATAAATAAATAAAAAAGAAATACGTATTAATAAATCTATAATATGACGTTATCCTTAATTTTTTCCCATTTTAGGAATAAATTTTTAATTTATTTATACTAAAATGTAATCATGTTCATATTATAAAATTTTCAGGTCACAGAATTACATATGCATTTTCATTCATTTTTATATGGTCAATTAATTATTCTTACCCACTAACACATAAACTCTGTCATATGCTTTCCAATAGCAATGTCCCCTTGATATATCTAATTAAGATCTTTCACAATGGAAAAGTTCAAATGAACCCATGTTATACAACATCCTATAGATTTATTCTCCAGTGAGAAAAACTTTAAGGAATTTGAGACACTCAATAAAATGGACAACAACTTAACAGATTATTTCCATTTAAAAATAAAACCCAACTAGAAATCTGGAAGCATACCTTTTTAATTGATGAAATAGGCAACTTAAAAACAATGCAATTTTCCCCACTTTTTTTAGTCTAGCATTATGGTACAATAAAAAAGACCTGATTCTTGACCTAACCCCTAACAAAGAATAGGATAAAACAGGATAAAGCTGAAGGGCAAACTTGGCCTTCACTTCACTAGAAGGCAAAATTCTTACACCTACTATTCATTCGTGTACTAATTCCATCAATAATTTTGATAGAGTATACCAATGAAACAAAAATTAATTAATTGGTAAAATTAATTTTACCAATTGTGTCAGCCCTTTGTGACAGAGGGCAGGAAAAAAAGGACACTATGTCCTCTGGTGATTCCTTAATGTTTACATTTTCCTCATAAAGTAAAGTCTACAACCTCTTCAAACTACATTTCTAAATTTTGCCATGTAATCATCTCACACAAATTAAATAACAAGGCTTATATGAAAGTGTCATTATGATTTCAACAATTTCTAATGGATGCATTTGTTATTTTTGCTCCAACAGCACTCTGGGCCACAAGACACTCGGCAGATAAAATGCCTAACTGGTCTATATAATTTGAATTCAGTGTCTAGGCAAGTTCATTAAAGAGAGTTTTACCTAATAGATAAGTTAACCACAAATTACAAGATCAACCTAGAAAATAATTGCAGTGACTTATTCTCAGAAAATGGACGATTTTATTCAATTCAAGTCAATGTAAAAGTAAGTAAGTTTCTTTGTTTCAAGTTTGGATTTATTATTCAGCTGTTGTTATTATGGGAAATAACTGACTTAACCTGAATATATCCATATTATTTACAACTTCTAATCTTTATCTGAATATATCCATATTATTTACAACTTCTAATCTTGATCTGAATATATCCATATTATTTACAACTTCTAATCTCTGTAGTGACTAATTTTACAAAGTTTCTAAGAAAACAGACTATTGTAACACTATTCTCATAGAGAACTACCATTAGAAGATACTAATGAAGTCATATCCAAAGGAAATAAAATCACTGCATCAAAGAGACTCCTGTATTCTCATGATCATTCTAGTACTATTCAGAAGATCCAACATATGCAATAAAATGAGTCATCCATCAGAAGTTAGATGAAGAAAATGTGGTGTGTACATGACTCTGTGTGTGTATACTTTTTTAAATCCATAAAAAAGGTAAAATCATGTGATTTATATCAACATGGATGGGAAGAGAGATAGTGTTCTACAGCCCAGTAGGGTTATTGTTATAGTATGGATATGAGGTATCCCCCAAAAATCCTGTGTCCCCGGCAGGAATAATAAGAGGTGAAATGATTAGATTAGGTGACCTGTAATCCGAATCAATCCCCCTTAGTTTGAATGGACTGACTGGATAATAACTGTAAGCAGATGGGGTGTAGCTAAAGAGGGGAGTCACTGGGGGTGTGGCTTGGAAGTTTTCATCTTCACTGCGTTCCCCCTTCCATCTTCTCCTTTTCTATTTCCTGATGGTTGCATAAGCTGAGCAGCTTTCTTCTGGGGGCACTCTGGTCGTGATACTCCACCTCATCTTGGAGATCAAAGTAGTGGACTCAGCCAAAGACAAACTGAACCTTTGGACTTGTGAGTCAAAATAAAATTTCACTCTGCTAGGTTGTTTTTGTCAGGTATTTTTGTCACAGCAATGTAAAGCTAAGATAGTAACTGTAGTTAACAAGTTTAATATATATTTTATAATAAAGAACTTGAAGAAAATATTTCAAACACCTCCAAAACAAAGAAATTATAAATATTGGAGACAGAAATGCTAATTATTCTGCCAGATATATTAGCATATGCTTACAATCCAGCTAATCAGAAGGTTGAGGCACAAAGATACCAAACTCAAGGCCAGCCTGGCAACTTAGCTGGACCATGTCTCAAAAACAAATAAGGGATTGAGTGTATCTCAGTGGCCCTGGTTTCAACTCCTAATACCAAAAAAGAAAAAAAAAAAAACACCAATTACTCTGATATGATAATTATATCCTATATTCTTTTTTTCAAATTTTCTTACTGAATCTCATAAATGTGTACAATTACTGTATGATAATATTTTTAGAAAAAATTAAAAATACATTGAAAAAATTTAAAGCCACTATTATATGAGAGTGATAAATAAATAAAAGTATATAATATGGTAGGAAAATTTAATATTTCTTGTAAATTTATTGATTTCTGAAATTTTTTTAACCAAAAAATTATGGGTGAAAGTCTTTTTTTATGAAGTGTGTTTAATTAAACTGGATTTAGAATTGTGGTGGATTCAAAGTTAGTCTAATTTTAATCTAGCATTTGAACAGCTGATTTATTGTTAGGAAAACAATAAAAAGCTTTCATCTTCAAATTAGTTAGGACAACTTTCAAACTCCATTTATCATTTCCTCAATTACAAACATGCTATAAGAATACCTTACACTGCATTGTCCACATCTATATAAATTAAGTCATATTAAATATTATTTTAAAGCAATCAAATGTTATGTCAGTTTTCACAGAATTAATCACTGTGTTTACATTTGTTTGGAAGTGTTTGGAATCAAACCCAGGACTTTGCACCTATTAGGCAGCCACTCTAACACTGACCTACATCAACACACTGTCTCTGGGTACACACTAATGACAACTTTTATTCTTTCTACCTTGTTCCCTTTAATTATTTTTGTCCAGGGATTTATGCATAGCTATTCTTGCAGTCAGATAAACAAATGTCTATTGCTTTAAGCACAGAAGACATATCATAAGCATCACCAGGAGACTGAATGTAAAGAAAAATCAAAGACAAAAAATTAATTAATTAATTAATTAAGTCATATAAAAGCACATTCAGAAAATGAAAACTCCATCCTGAACACAACCACCCCATTGCTCTCTAAGTGTTGTGCCTAGGAACAACACCATCTGCCAACTTATTAAAAATCTAATTTCACATCTAAACCTAATGAAAAGCAGAAATTACAAAACTGGGACCCAGAAAACTGTTTTAATAAGCTCTCCTCCAAGTAATTCATATGCACATTAAATTTTGAAAAGTTCCAATTTAATCAAAGCTATCTAGAAATGCCCTTTACCCATTCCAATACAGATACTTGATCAGCAAATCTTGCTAATCACAGTAATGTTAAGACACTCCCTTATATAGTCACCTCAAAAGAGGGCACAGAAAAGGGGCTGAGACTCATTCTCTGAAGAAAAACAAATATTGCCATGTAAATGATGACTGACTTCTCAACTGCATCACTGTTACAAAATACAAATATAAGTTCTTTCAATGCCAAAAAGTGAAACATCCTAATATTACTCTAAATTTACATATCTACCTTTATAACAATTTAAGGACATGGTCTAACCTCTGTATACTTAGATTCTATATTTCCTTTCCCCCATCCATCAATGCACTCAACAATCTACTAATTCATGCCTTCTATTACTCTTTGCCAAATTATTCTACTGTAAATTAGCTGGACTGGAAATTCCCTGGCAGAGATGAAAATCATCATTAGGTTGAAGAAACTATCCCCAAACTACAAAAACAAATTGTTCATTTCTTCCACAGATTCTTATTTGTGGAGAATTTTCTTCAGGTCATCTGTACAGAAGAACTACCAACCAAATAAAGTTATCTGGATGAAGCTTATACAACAAATACTACAGTGTCCTCTCTCAATTGCATCAAATATCACAAGGTCAAAGAACCTACACATATATACACTACACCTCAACAGATCCTACACTTGTTCCTTTCCTTTCTCACTCAACAGAACATTTTTACTTCTATCAAGTGGAACGGTAGCTCAACTTTCTCAATTGACCCAATATATTGCTATTAGTCAAGATCAAAAATACTATGATAAATCAAAGTTGAATATGCAAAACTGGAAAAATGGCTCAATAAAAGAAAAATCCAGAAAAAAGCCTTGTTTACCTTACTTTTAAATGAATGTTCATTTCTCCATACCCCAAATAACTTTTTGACACCCTAATTTTTATACAGTTACAATATTTAAACTGATATTGTTCATTAATGTACATATATTTATATACATACATAAAACTCATGTAGACTCTAGCAACTGAGATGACTATTTGAGGATAGAGTCTTAATATCTACAACCATCTGTGCTAGATTTGTAAACAGGTTGTTTCTAAATTAACTATTTAATTACCTCATCCTACATTGTCAACTACAGGTAACAAACAATGTATCACTCCTACAATAAAAGGTAAATATTAACATGCCAGTGCATGGCTATAATTTCAGCTACTCAGGAGGCTAAGAAAGGAGAAAAACCTTTGAGACTTAGCAAAACTCTGTTAAAAAAAAAAAAGGAAAAGGGCTGGGGATATAGCTCAGTGGGAAAGCAACTTAGAGTTTAATCCTCAGGAAATCCTCTCCAAAAGGATGCAGGAATTAATTGAAAGATCATCTAATGGCCAATAATCAAACAATTCAAGCATCAGTATAATTAAAGTATGCAAGTAGTACACAAAATAATGTCTATCTGGGCTCAGTACCCAATATCATAAAACAAGTAAATATAAAAGGATACAATGAGATAAAATACATAACTCAAGAAATTAATATTTAGCAAATCTTTATCTTGTGTGACCAGCATCACCAACAAAATATCAATTTCATTCCCTTAACTACATCACAGTCCAAACTTCTAAGATTTCATACTGCCAAGATACAGAAAAAGACATTAAAAGTAAAACCAGATCGCTGAGGATACAGCTCAGTTAGCCCTTGGTCACATGTCCAAGTCCTTAAGTTCAAACCCCAAATTAACTCTGTATATAACTTAAGCATGTGCAAAAGCTATAAATTAACTTAAACTATACATAATCTTAAACTATACATAATAAACCATCAATTTCCTATTGAACTTGTAAATATAGAAACTACTTCAGTTACTAGAAAAACGCTTATGAAATGTTCACAGACGTTTGAACCTAAGTGATGCTAGTAATGGGATAGGGATACATAGTACCTTCCAAGTCCTTATTCTCCTCAATTTATCACTTGAAACACATAATGGAAAGGAGAAATTTGAAATTTATCAAGACTATGAATATAGAAGCACTCTACAAAAGAAAACTATACTAATATAACCACTTTTGTCTACTGAACTGCAAAAAAGGAAATCTACCAGTCCAGTCCATTCTCCTTTACCAGAAAGTATTGATAAGAAAAACCTTGTGAAATTTACATTTTGAAAACTTACATTCAGAATATTTCTGTCCTAAATCCTTAAAAATGACACTTAGGCTGGACCTCAGAGTAATCATATTGAGCTTCACTTCATCATGCTCAGTAAACATAGCTCATCATAAATCCAGCCAAGGTCTTTACCAAAGTCTCTCTTAAAATCTAACTTTAAAAAGAAATAAAAAGAATGGGACTGGGGTTGTAGGCCAGGGCTATAATGCATAGTAGCATTTAATACATCCCATGTTCAAACCCTAGCACCAAAAAAAAAAAATCAAAAAAAAATTTAACATATAGAAAGTATATCTCTATGCATAGACAGTCCTCTTATCTGGTAAAATGATTGCCTTTAATTGGCAAAGGATATGAAAACAATGTAATAGACTGATGCAGAATTAAGGGGACAATAGTAAGAAACAAAAAAAATCAGCAGGCATACAGGCAGAGAGACATACTGACACAAATATGCACAAACAAAACAATGTACCTTAAGATTGAGATCTTTTGTTTTATATAACTAAGTTCACTTTCTCTTCTCCCAACATTACAACCCCAGTACTGGAGAGAGAATACATGGGTGCTTTATCACTGAACAATATCCTGACCATTTTTCCTTTTTATTTTGAGATAGGGTCCTGCCAAATTGCTGAGGCTAGCCTTGAATTCATAATCCTCCTGCTTTGGCCTCCTGAGTACCTGGGATTACAGGTGTGTATCACCATGCTCAATTCTAAATCTAGTGTTTTATAATCAACTTCCATAAGCAAATTGTCCTATAAACTGAAATAGGAATATTCAAATGTCACCACAGACGGATACAGTACTAACAACTGTCTGTTCTCCCCCAATATCTTATTATCAATGAATCTGAAGGCAAAGCATATAAATTAAAACCACAAAAAATATTCCAGATAAAGTATAAATCAATAGTATGAAAGGAGAAAGATAGATGTCAAAACAAAAACAAAGCAGTTCAAAGAGATGAAGCAAAAGTTCAATGAAACAATTCTGAAGGAGTTCTCAGTCAACTTCTAACATCTCTGATACAAAAGTGTTATGGTAAACTGGCCAACTTTTATTATGGAAATAACAGACCCCATGCTACTACTTTGGATATATATCTCCTAGAAGACTTTAATGTGTGATTACAGGAACTGTTTATTTTAACTATAGAAGTGTTACAGTAGGCAGACAAGTAGATATGAGGCAAGGGTAGATATGGGGAAAGAAATTTGGGATCCACCCCTGCTCATTATGCCTCCTAGGAACCACCTCCTTATAGTCCACTCACAGACAAGACAATAAATTTTATAGATTCCCAAATTTCTCAATGGAAAGGACAAAGAAAACTGATCTCTGGGCCTGGATGACCCAAGAAAAAACGGGAAATACCCAGTAAACGCAGCTAATGTCATAACTCCCCAGGGTGAGGGATGGCTCATCCAGTAGATCATATGACTAGAATAAAGGAGAGACACCTCTCACATACTCTTTTGTCTTTCTTTTCCAGATGGCTACCCAGATGTCCATACATCAAGACTCACCGCTCAGGTACAGCATCTTAAAAAATTAAGATAAATCTGACCCTCAAGCATTCAAAAAAAAAAGCTAAATTTACCTAGAAACTTGGCCATAAAATAGAGAGGAGATAAAGAAACATGGCCTGAACTTGGAAACATTAACACTAATACCATGCTTTTTCTGCTGCACCCAAGGAATTTCAAAAGTTCCATATGTTCAGGATTTCACGGCCTTGAGAGACAGTCAGTGAAGAACTCTGTAAATGAACCCAACGATTATGATTTTCTTGAAATTCTACATTCCCATCCATAGCCCAATATGAGAAATAGGAGCCATAAGTGACCCACTCTAAGATGCCTTTAACTACCACAGTAGAGCCCGTCACTCACAACTGGGAAAAGTACAATCAGGTCTTAGAGATTCCTGACCACTTTAGTCAGGACCCCTCAATCTCCAGGATCTGTCATCTATAAGAGGTTGCAGGGCTAACAGCTCAATGTTTCATTAACCATATTCCATTAACCATTCAAAATCTCAGACAGGTAAAGGAAGACCTGGGAAGATTCTCAGTTGATCCTGAAAGGTTTATTGAGGAATTACAAAGGTTAAATGTCTCTTTAAACTATACCTGGAGGGACATAAATATCCGGAATCAGACTCTCAAGCAGAAAGTTGCAATAGGGCATGCTGCAATATGATGATAACAATTTGACAAATTGTTAATTTCCCAAAGTGGCAACTGATGTTCCTTCAACATAACTCCAGCAGGATTATAACACCACTGAGGAGATACAAAGGAGAAATCACATGGTTCTATTTCTATTAGAATATAAAAAACATTCACATCAAATATGTGAACAGGGGCTGGTGCTGTGGTAGAGTGCTTGCCTTGCATGCATGAGGCCATGGGTTTGATCTTCAGCACCACATATATACACAATGGAATATTACTTAGCAATAAAAGAGAATAAAATCATGGCATTTGCAGGTAAATGGATGGAGTTACAGAAGATAATGTAAGTGAAGTTAGCCAATCCCCAAAAAACCAAATGCCGAATGTTTTCTTTGATATAAGGAAGCTGATTCATAGGATAGGGAGTGGAAGCATGGGAGGAATAGACGAACTCTAGCATGGGGTTAGTAATGAGGGTGGAATATGATGATCATTATTATCCAAAGTACAGTTATGAAGTCACGAACTGGTGTGAATATACTGTGTATACAACTGGAGATATGAAAAATTGTGCTCTATGTGTGCAATAAGAATTGTAATGCATTCCGCTGTCATATATAAACAAAAAATTTTTAAAAAATTACCTCGTGACTTTCACAGAAGACATATACCACACATCAAATTCATAGCTTATTAGAAAACCAAAGAGCCTCACTGGCTTACAGATGTCAGGTTACTCAAGTATCAGTCAATCCTTTTAGAAACTTGACATCACTTTATATAGATGGACTTCTTTAAATCCAACTATCCTGTTGTGTATTCTGGGGGACCAAGTGTCTTTTCATTCTTGTAATAAGTGACCTAATATGCATGAGCCAAAATGATTTAAAGGGCTCCACATGTTAGCTGATTTGGACATAGTCTAGTTCTCTAATGGAAGTAGCTTTCTATAGGAGGGTATCAGAGATGGAGGCTATACAATTGTGTTCCTCCTTCAAAGATATCACTGAGGCAGAGGCAAATTCTTCCAGGAACCTCAGACCAATAGGTGGATTGAAAGCTTTCACCAGGGTTTTGGAGCTAGAAAAAGGCCAAAGGGTCATCATGTACTCAAATTATAGACACTTATTTTGGGTGGTTCACACCCATGTAGTTATTTGGAAAGAATGGGGCTACTTGACTTTAAAATTACCTTAATCAAATATGGACCACAAAACCTAAGACTTTGAGAGGTAGTAGAGTGCACTGGCCCAAGGAAGCATCAGAAACATGAGAACAAAAATCATGAGGAAGCACAGGGCAATAAAAGTTCATACATGACCATGTAGAAGAGTACCATTATAGAAGTCCTCATCTCTATCCTCTGTGAAAAGCTGTCCACATCCCAATACACCCAAGAGGGGAAAAATTGGATGTCACAGGAAATTATCTAACACCTGAACCATGAAGAATGGTACAGAGGGCTGGGGCTGTAGTACAGTGGTAGTGCACGTGCTTAGCATGCGTGAGGCACTGGGTTTGATCGTCAGCACCACATAAAAATAAAATAAAGGCATTTTATCCATTTACAACTACAAAAAAAAATTTAAAAAGAATGGTACAGAGTAAACTAATCTACATTCCTTAGTCCATCCAATAGAAGTTTATAAAAGGCTTATATTACACTTGCCATTTGTGCCAAGAAAGTCTCTACCAAATATATAAGAGATTATTCACAGGCAAAGAACTCTCTTTAGAACATATGAGTTTGATGGTCATGCCACCTTTGCAACCAAAATAACTCTCAGGGAACTAGGCTTCACCTCCTACTTCAGCCCATGCAATGCCAAGGCACATGCCCAGAAGAAGACCAGAAACCAAATTTCACTCATCTACACATTACCAAAGGCTATAAATTTCTACTGGTTTTTATAGACAACTTCACAAAAATGAGTAAAATTCTTTCCTATGAAGACAAATTGATCCCTGAAGTATAAAAACCTTACTAAAGGAGACCATCCCCAGGTTTAGGCTAATTTGATCTCTCCAAAGAGACAATGGATCCTCCTTCATCTCTCAGATTACTCAGCAGATGATAAATATCCTAAGAATTAAATATTTCCACCATTCTTACCAGAGATATTATTCATCAGGAGAAGCAGAATGGGCTAATCTTACCGTAAACTGTACTCTGAGAAATCTTTGCCAAGAAACCTCATTACCATGGTTGGAGCTTCTTCCTACAGCCCTTACATGGATTGATTAGCTCCAAAAACTCACCTTCAGATTAGGTCCTTTTTATACTTATAAGGGCTGGCCTAATACAATATAAAACCTCTATAAGAAAGTTAACAGACAAGGGCCTGGCTTTAATCCCCAGCACCACAATAAGTAAGTAAGTAAATAAATAAATAAATAAAAATAATAGAGTTAACAGGGCTGGGGTTGTGGCTTATTAGTAGAGTGCTTGCCTGTCATACACGAGGCACTGTGTTCAATCCTCAGCATCACATAAAAATAAAAATATTTTTTCCACCAAAAACTAAAAAATAAATAATTTTAAAAAAAGAAAGAAAGTTAACAGGCAATACACACCTATGGATGAGAAAGTGAAGGATGAGGTCAAAGAGATATTCCCTCTTTATAAGCCCAGACTTGGAAATAAGGATTCCCAGCAGATCCCTGATAGAAGAGCTATTTTACTCTTTTCCTCCCTATCTTCACAGTGGAGAAGGTGCCTGAGATTGCTAGCTAGATTCACCACACACCCAGATGAAGCCCTAGAACTCGGTGCTTCAAAAATCAAGATTCTTTTTTTTTTTTTTTAAAGAGAGAGTGAGAGAGGAGAGAGAGAGAGAGAATTTTTAACATTTATTTTTCAGTTCTCGGCGGACACAACATCTTTGTTGGTATGTGGTGCTGAGGATCGAACCCGGGACGCACGGCATGCCAGGCGAGCGCGCTACTGCTTGAGCCACATCCCCAGCCCGAAAAAAATCAAGATTCTTGAAGTCTACTTGTAATTGTGAGCCCATAATGGACCTAAAGTTACTTTTCAAAAGGATGACAGGTAAATAGATCCCTCATGGACTCAGAGGCCCCATGGCTTTTTATCTTCCCAGTTCTGGACATCTTCCTTGTTAACTTCATAGTTCTTTGTCTCTCTGCTATCTTCCTTGTGGACTAAAACCATTTTTGTTCAATATGCCTCCTACACCACTGATCTTAGTTCATTCTTAGCTTCATCCTACTCCCAGAAATGTCCTAATATCCTTGCCTGTTATTGTCAAGCAGAGCTAAAAAGTTGCTAAAGACTGGCAAATCCACCTATGTCCGTGATTTCTTGCAATGCATAGACCCTTTCCTCCAAGAGAACAACCCATCCCACTGACCCTTTTTGACTGGGCTTAGAACAAGACACTGTTGTCCCATACTTGCTATTTCAACACAACAATCTAACTAACTTCTCCCCAGAGGACAGGTAACTTAGTCAATATCTTTCCTCTATCTTTCTAAGAACTCAGTAGTTTTAGGGCCATAACTGATCTCTATGATACTCATAGCCAGACCCCTTTGCAATCAATTGTCCTAAGCCATAGAGATTCCAGTGGGAAGATTTCTTATAAACCAATGTGTCTTGACTATCAATATCACTGATTCCCTGAAAATATTTCACCTTCACTGAGGATTATAAACAATCAATTTGTTTTGGAACAGCACCCCAAATTTTCAATGGCTAGCCCTTTGTACTGGGGAATGGGACCCAATTCTGTGACAGGCCACCCAGTGGATGAGCTGGTGGTACCCCATGGCTTCAACTGTATTCCATGATAAATGATAAGACGACTCCTCCTATACACTTTAAAATGCTTGATTTCCATTTTTTAACCCCAAAACATAAAAATTCCCAAGAATACACTAAAATATTATGACAAGGCACTGTACAAAACTAGGGCTGGTTGGGCTGGGGTTGTGGCTCAGAGGTAGAGTGCTTGCCTAGAATACATGAGGCACTGGGTTTGATCCTCAGTACCACATAAAAATAGAATGGGGGTTACTGTGTTCACCCAAAACCAGAACAAATATTAAAGAAAAAAAAACTAGGGCTGGTAATACTAATTAATTTGAGTGACCCACGCTTTTTAGGCCAACTACTTTAGGATATTAGATATCAGACAGGCATGACTTCTTACCACAGATATTTCACTATAAGGAAGTAACCATAAAATATCTAAACATTCATTTTTTAACAAACACTTTAGCAGTCATTCTTCATTCATTCACTAAAATGTTTCTTATACAACTATTTTATAATGGTGTTTGGACATGAGGATCAATCACAGGCCACCAAAGAAGAAAAACACACAAATTATCCTAAAACACCAACAGGATCCATGTGAAGCCTTTTAATATACTTACTGTGATCCACAATATATGCTCGACAAATATTATTCTTTCATTCCTGGACATCATTTAGAACCCTAGGATTTTAGTACTCTTTGTTTTCAATAGTTGATAGTTTCATTTGTACACATCCTTACTTCCATCTCACCAGGTGCCTGCTATCTTCTGTGATCCAAGATGTTTCCTTTTAGCTTTCAACAACATACAAAGTTCAGAAAAAAAAAGAATTACCTCAGAATATCAATGAAAATAAAAGACATTTGAATAAATGGCAAAGTTCTATACTAGAAAATGCATATCTATATGTTCTAAGTTTTTACAAAAAGCCAAGATCTTTTTCAAGAATAATGTGCTCTGAAAAGTCTAGTGAGGCACACTGACTAGATTTCAGAGTGTCAATTTAAGCTCAAATTTTGAAATCATCATATTCAGACAAGGTCCTGTGTCATCATGAACCTAGCCAAGGCCTCACAATATACTCTTATTTCTACTGATAAGGTTATATTACCTTGAAGGGTTTATGTTTCTGTCTTAAGTGCAGCTAATGTGGTTTTCAGTGTCAATTTCAGATCCAATCACTGAATAGGATCCACACTGATGACACACCATGAAATTCAGTGACCAAATTCTTCCCAAAATTCAGTAGCCAAATCCTCTCTTCCCTTCAGTTATCAACTAAGTTGACAAAAGGATATCATAAAAGCCTGAAAAAGTTTCAACATACAAATAACCCATGAGACTCAGATTTCATTCTCCTACCACAAAAAAAATTAAATAATCATGATAATATGCCTTGCTTTATTTCAGAATATTCACATACTGAGATTATGTGTACAAACAGGACCAAGGGAACTAATATGCAATTATGAGTAAGACAGTAAGATCAAATAGATAACAAGCACTTTAAATTTTCGCCCATTACATAAATAATGGCTGTAACCTACTGCTTGTTGAAATTCAATAAAGATAATAGTTGAGGTTAACATACTAACAACAGTGTATTGTTTTCTTTTTGGGGGGTGGTGGAAGGTGCCAGGGATTGAATTCAAGGGCACTCAACCACTGAGCCACATACACAGACCTTTCTTGTATTTTATTTAGAGACAGTGTGTCCATGAGTTGCTTAGAACCTCACTGTTGCTGAGGCTGGCTTTGAAGTTGTGGTCCTCCTGCTTGAGCTCCCAAGCTTTTGGGATTATAGGCATGAGCCACTACACCTGGCACTGTATTATCTAATCTTTGAAACAAGATGTTCAAAGTATACTCATTGACATGTATGACTAAAAATAATAAAAATACCAAAAGATGATTGTGAAAATTCCAAATAACACTATTATCATATTGTATATAAATAAGTTTCCATCTTAATAGTGTATTATAAGGAATAATCTCTAACAAACCAAATCCCCAATGCATGCACTTCTGACTTCTAAAATCTGACATGATGTAAAAAATGAACTATTGAGTTTAAGAAAGTAGAGGGTTCCCAGGCTGGGGATGTGGCTCAAGCGGTAACGCCCTCACATGTGCTGGGCGCTGGGTTGGATCCTCAGCACCACATACAAATAAAATAAAGATGTTGTGTCCACTGAAAACTAAAAAATAAATGTTAAAAAAAACTCTCTCTTTCTCTCTCTCTCTAAAAAAAAAAAAAA